ATTCATGATCACCATTCATCCCCTGAATATAGCTGGAGTCTAGGTTTCTTCTCTTAGGACAATCTGCAGCATGAATTTTTGTCTTGTTTCCAACCATACAATTTGGGTAATTTCTCTTTGATTAGGCGATTCTGTGGAATGAATTTTAGAATTCATGAAATCCTGTATGGCTTCTTCTGTGGTTTTCATCCAAGGTCCCTTCTTGTCAATACCTCCGAATATCTCAATAAACCAACGATGCTCCGTTTTCTCTGTCATATTTTTTGTCTGCTCCATTTTACCTGTGTCTAGTTCCAAGTGCTCACGCAGAGTGATCCTCAATGTCCAGCGCTGGTTTATATAGCATGGGTTTGTTTAGGGTCGTGTGCAAAAATAGGTTGGACTTACGTTTTGTTCGTACTGTGTACGTCTCTGTACACTCTCTAGTCACCCACCTTACCTATGCATTGTGACGTCATCCACTGTATAAATACGGCTTTTCTCCGACTTTCAGCTCATTCTACAGTCAGAGCCATCAGCTGTTGGGCATGGATTCTAGTAGAGAAAAACAGTTACATGCTCAACGATTATTGAAATGGAAAAGAAGGGAGAGAGAATTAGATCGAATTCTTTATGAGAAAAGAGAGCAAGAATTAAAGATCCGGAAAAAAAATGCCGAAATGTTAAAGAGAAGAGGTCTATTAGAACAACAACAAAGACAACGACAGCATCAACAAAGGACTAGGGCGCATGAGGGACCAAAATCACCTATTCATTCACCACCGAAACTCAAGGCGATTTCCAAGTATTATCAGATGAGACTGAATGGAAAAATACACTCGTCAAAATTTAAAGCGCAAGAAAATATCTATACCGTCAATTTCAAAGAATTTCCAGAAGAGGAAAACAGAGGATTCGTTCGTCGATTATTCAGAGACATGTTACAAACAGTCAAATCGGAAATGCAGTGTAATACTAACGATTACCTCCGCCTGAACCTACGCCACAATTCTTTGGATTCAGGTCTATTAGAACAACAACAAAGACAACGACAGCATCAACAAAGGACTAGGGCGCATGAGGGACCAAAATCACCTATTCATTCACCACCGAAACTCAAGGCGATTTCCAAGTATTATCAGATGAGACTGAATGGAAAAATACACTCGTCAAAATTTAAAGCGCAAGAAAATATCTATACCGTCAATTTCAAAGAATTTCCAGAAGAGGAAAACAGAGGATTCGTTCGTCGATTATTCAGAGACATGTTACAAACAGTCAAATCGGAAATGCAGTGTAATACTAACGATTACCTCCGCCTGAACCTACGCCACAATTCTTTGGATTCAGATATTTGGTACGAGTTTACGCAGTGTAAACATTTGAACGAGGATCTCATTTTAGACAAGATAGAAGTCGTGCAACAATCCAAAAAGGAGTTCAAACTGGGCGACGGCTCCCTGGAATTCGATATGTTTCACGTCAAGTATCCACAAGGTAGTGGTGGAAACAGAACCAAACATTTACAAGTGAATAAGGAGATTTTCAAGAACAATAAACAATCCATCGTTCGGATCGTCAATCCCCATGATAAATTTTGTTTAGCTAGAGCCATCGTCGTCACCCGGTTACACAGTCAGAAACCGGAACATCCAGACCCCGAATGGGAAAAACGATGGAAACGCATGAGGTCAGGAGATGTAAGAGCAAATGACCAGAAACGAGAAGCAATAGCCCTCATGGAACAGGCCGAGTGTGATATCAATCAAGCTTGTGGATCTGCAGAGTGGACGAAATTACAACAGGTGTTAGCTCCTCGCTATCGACTGAAAATATTTCAGTTCAAGTCCACTTCAACTAAACTCTGTTTAGAGCCTATTTACAAAGTTTGGGGAGATGGAACTTATTTGAACATTTTGTTAGACGAGGAGCATTGCGATGCCATCCTATCGATGCCGGGAGTAACGGGGAACCCCTATTACTGTGATCATTGCGATGAGGGGTACAGTCATGTCACAGAACATTGGACCAAGTGCCCTCATCGCTGTCCCTTTTGTTTAGGATACCCCAAATGTCCCGAAGACGGGAGCCACATTCAATGTCAGCAATGCCAAGGATTTTTTAAGAACCGGACCTGCTACGAAAATAATTTAAGACCCCATAGCAAGAAAACGACCACCAGTGTCTGCAATTTGATGGTACTATGCGAGAAGTGTCATGTATGGATGCCTAAGAAATTATTTCCTCATCACAAGTGCGGAGGACAGAAACAGTGTAAGATCTGTAAGAAAATCGTCGATACCGATCATCAGTGCTACGTTCAACAGAAGCCCGAGAAGAAGAAGACGGGGAAAGACACCTTACAGTTTTACATCTATTTCGATTTTGAATGCACTCAGGAAACGGGCATCCACATCCCTAATCTGTGTGTGGCCACCGCGTCTGTCAACACTGCGGTCATTTACCCATAGACCAACCCTGTCCTCATTGTCAACACATGGGACCCCGTCAGCACATATTTAAAGGACCAGAGACCTTAAAGAAGTTCATGGACTGGTTATTACAACCCACCACAGGTACTAAGAATTCCACATTAGTACACGACGAGGCCATCATCATCGCTCATAACTTCAAGGGATACGACGGACAATTCATTTTAAATCACCTGGTGCATTCCGCCCCCTGAAACCTAACGTCATCATAAACGGCAATAAGATCTTGTACATGGAAATTTGTGGATTGAAATTCATCGACTCGTATAATTTCTTACCGTTTCCTTTGGCTAAGATGCCCTCCGCTTTCGGATGCAACGAATTGAAGAAAGGCTATTTCCCCCACTTTTTTAATATGGAACAGAACCAGAATTACGTGGGGCCTTATCCACCGGCAGATGAATACAAACCGGACGAAATGTCTATCAGTGGACGACAGGCTTTTTTCGAATGGTACGAACAACAGACCGGAAAAGTGTTTGATTTCCAGAAAGAGTTTGTAGATTATTGTATCTCGGACGTCGACATTTTAAGACTATGCTGTGCACAGTTTAGAACCACCCTCAAGAGCTTAGTCCATGTCGACTCTTTCCAGGAATCCATCACGTTTGCCAGTGCTGCTAATTTACCCTACCGTTGACAATTCATGCCTAACGAGACCATTGCCATCATTCCGAACCTGGGGTATCAACCGGCACGACAATATTCGGCCAAAGCCTGTCGGTGGCTCACCTGGATCAGTCAACAGAGTGGATGTCACATACAACATGCCAGAAACGGGGGCGAAGTCCAGATCGGAAATTATACCGTCGACGGATACCAGGAAGCGACTCGTACCGTCTACGAATTTTATGGGTGTTATTGGCACGGATGCCCCACCTGCTATCCCAGTCTACAGACCGAAACTCATCCTCACCGGACCCAATTTACTTATCAACAATTACAGGAGGAAACCCTCAGAAGGAGGCCTTGGAGAACATGGGGTACACCGTCCGTAGTATCTGGGAGCACGATTTCGATCAGCAAGAGCAACGAGATGTGAGTTTACAGCATTTTGTACGAGACCTGGACATTCCCGATCCCTTGAACACCCGAGACGCCCTGTACGGAGGCCGGACCAATGCCACCCGATTATATTGTGAGGAAGGGGACATGAGATACGTGGACGTCTGTTCCCTATATCCTTACATGTTGAAACATAGACCTTTTCCTGTAGGGCATCCCGAGATCATCACAGACGAGTTCCAGGACGTGAGAAGTTATTTCGGCCTCATTCACTGTCGGGTCTTACCACCCCAAGGCCTCTATCACCCCGTATTACCTTATCGGACGGGAGGCAAGTTATTATTTCCCTTATGTCGAACCTGTGCCGAACGACAGGATTCTACTTCTCAACATTAATGTCAACACACCGACCAGGAACGTAGTCTCACGGGTGACGACCGAATTACAAAAAGCCTTGGACATGGGATATACCTTAGAGCGAATACACGAAGTGTGGCATTTTAAAGAAAGCAGACAGGATTTATTCAGACCCTACATCCATACCTTCCTCAAGATCAAACAGGAAGCGTCCGGATTTCCCCCCGACTGTAATACCCCAGAACAAGAATAAGATTACATTCGACATGTCTTAGACAAAGAAGGCATCATGATGGACAGGATCAGTATCGAGAAGAATCCAGTGAGAAGAACCATCGCTAAACTCTTTTTAAACTGTCTGTGGGGAAAATTTGCTCAACACTTGTTATTACCCAAAACCAGATACTTGGACGAAGAAGAGGAATTACAGCAACTTTTACAAGATTCGACTCTTGACATCAAGGGCATGCGACTCTTAGACAATAAAGAGGACTCCAATAAGGACAAGATGCTGGTGAATTATCAAGACAAACAGGAATTCGTCGAAGAATGTCCCTTTGGAAACGTGGTCCTGGCTTGTTTTACCACTGCGCATGCCCGCTTACACCTCTACGAGACTTTACAATCTTTAGGAGATCGGGCCCTTTATTTCGATACGGACAGTATCATTTACCAACATCGGGAAGGAACCTCTAATCCTACCTTGGGTAATAGTTTAGGAGAATGGACCGACGAATTAGACGGAGATCACATCATCAAATTCATGTCGGCAGGTCCTAAAAATTATGGTTACCGGACCTCCAAAGGAACCGAGGTCCTTAAAGTCAAAGGAATCACTCTCAACTATCGAACCTCTCAGATCGTGTCCCTAGAGACTTTCAACAAATGCTCAAGGGAGAAATAGAGGAAGTCACATTACCTTATCCCAACAAAATCCAGACGACCCGTGATCATGACGTCGTGAGCAAACCTTTAGAGAAAAAGTATAGAATTGTGTACGATAAGAGACAATTATTGTTACCCTCTTATAACACTTTACCTTATGGTTATTGATATATTCAATGTTGACAATGAATAAAAATTGAATTGTTGTTTTGTGTGTTTTTTTTCTTCTTCGTACTCTCTATAAAAGGTATTCTAATTCAAAATCAAAGGTCATTTCTAATCATGGGTAGTCGCGAGCCAGACCAACCCATGCGTTATCCCCAGTATGCTCAGCTCTCAAAGAGAGAAGCTACTTTTGAGCAGGGATGGCCAGAACCTCTCTTAGGAAAAATACCCGACATAGCTCGAGCCGGGTTTTACTACAAGGGAGTGAAAGATAACGCTACTTGTTTTCATTGTGGAATGACTTTAACGAATTGGGATCTTAAGAACAATCCTTATGCAGAACATACTTATTGGAACCCCAGTTGTCCTTACATCAATCAGTATAAGGGACGAAGCTGGGTGATGGGTATATTTGTCAGGTTCTTAGAGAAGCAGGGATATAAACCTTTAATTGAGATCAAACCTCTACTGAACCCGGAACCAGATGTTCAGGCTCGAGGAAAATGTCACATTTGTTTAGACGAGGAGTTAGAAATCGCTTTTCTACCTTGTGGACACGTATGCTGCTGTGCCTTGTGTGCTCCTTCCTTCCAGTTTTGCCCCATCTGTCGAGCCGAGATTCAACAGTCCAAACACATATTTCCGTGTTAACTATAAATAGGACCCTGAACCCATCTCTTCCTTCATTGATCAACATGTATTCCCAGGAGACACCCCTCCCCTCTTTTCAACTGAAACACGAATTTACCATGGTTGTCGCTGGGCTCTCGAAATCGGGCAAAACAGAATTCGTCAAGAAATTAGTGAACAATGTAGATTGGATCACTCCCAGGCCCGAAAAAATCGTCTGGTGTTATCGGGAATGGCAACCCGCTTACACTTCTTTAAAAGATAAAGTATATTTCATCCGAAATATTCCAGAAGACGACGAGAAATTAGTAGCCAATTTGAGTGTGCCACACTTACTCATTTTTGACGACATGATGGGAGGAAAAGCCATCGAATCCATTGTGGATTGGTTTACCCGCAAAGCGCATCATCGGAATACCAGTGTGATTTACATCACTCAGAATTTATTTGATCGAGCCGCCTCTCATCGCACCATTAGTTTGAATGCTCATTATTCATTCTTATTCAAAAATCCCACAGACAAATCTCAGATCAGTGTGTTGAGTTGTCAGCTAGCCTTGCCTCATTTGATGTCTGCCTATCAAGAAGCCACCCAGGTACCTCACGCTATCTCCTCGTGGACCTGAGTCCCCAGACCCCAGACGAATACCGATTGAGAAGTCGAATGTTTGAATTGTTGACTGTACACATGCCTCAAGAGTATAAATAAAAGTGTTTCACACTCTTCTGGGTCATTGTTCATTTCAGTCTCATCATGGCTCCATCAGCCAAGAGTAAATTAGTGAGAACCTTACGACGTTTACAGCGGGAACGAGAACCCGCGAAGCGAGCCCATTTAATCGAATTAGGGCGTAAAGCCTTATTGAATTGGTTTGCCATGGGAGCTCGCAATTTAATGAAAGGGGTCTTACCTATCAATAAACAGACCCAAAAATTTATCAATCATCATCGTCAAGATTTAAAGATCATTGCCGATCAATCGGCCAGTGATCAAGACAGAAAAACGGCTATTTTAAAACGAGGAGGAGCTGGATTTCTAGGCGGAGTCATCATTTGTCATTTATTCAAATGGAATAATCCTAAAAAACGACGGGTTCGACGTTTGAAGAGTGTGGTGGTGAGAGTCGATAATAAGAAACAAAGAGTGTTTCCGGATTGGATGGTCCGAGTCGGAGGAGCAGCTCAAAAGAGCAGAAAAAAGAAGAAGAGAAAAG